AGTTGATTCGACAACTTGATATTTCTTATAGTTTTATTTTTTTTTTAGTAATAGGGCAAATAGTTCCTGACCTTTTTGCGTTACAGAATTGGCGTTGATATGAACTCATTCGTTTATCAAAAACTTCGTTCATCACGATTTTCAGAATATCAATGAAAATTCAGAGAATGTGTATTTAAAAATTTGTCATAAGGATCCATACTAATAAAACATACTGAACCTGATCTAAATGCACATTATATTTTATAATAACATTATCTTAACAGTAAAATTGCAACATTGATATAGTTAACTTATTCAAAAAATTACCTATTGTTCATTATGAGACATTATTTAGGGTCCTTTACCTATTATTTTATCACCTGTGCAGAATAAATAAGAGATAAATTGTATAAGCCCTGAAAGCCGTGTTAAAAGTAGAAAAGAATTTCACTCAAACAATAAAATTATTCAAAGTTATAACCACGAGCTATTCCACATTTATTCATATTATATTTTAATTAAATATATCGTAGTAACGAAGTGGAAAAATATGTTATTTGTTTTATTGTTCGGCCAAAAAACTTAAATTTAAAAATATAAAATTTTTATAAAGAAATTATCATTTACACTTTACAATTATATTATACAGAGTGTGTCGCATAAGGTGGCAAAAATTTCAGTGATAATTCTTTGATCAATTTCCAGCATGATTTTAAACAAATTTCACAAGTTTTACTGGCAAAACTATAACTTTTAGATTCCACTGTAGCGCATCGAAAAAAAAAAACAAAAAAACAAAAAAATAATAAAACAAATTTTCGAAAAATTTCGAGTTTTTGAAAAAAAAATTCAAAAAAAAATTCTGACATTGAATAGTTTTGTCTCGAAAACTATGACTCGAATCAAATAATTGGTAAAACCGAACGTAAAAAAATAATCAAACCATCTATAAAACAAGCTCCTGATGATTACTCTATTTCACATAATTCGGAAGTTATAAGTAATTTTTTATATACAGGAAATCTGGTACCTTTTTTTTCAACAGGCTGTAGCTCGAAAACGGGTACATCTGCACCTCCCTCCGCCCGTCTTCCCACCCATACAATTTTTTGCTGTAAATTGATAACAGAATAGTCCCTGAAATTATTTGCCACCTTATGCGAAACACCCAGTATAGAAACATCATGCTATTATTTAAAATAATCAAGGAAGACATTTAAAACTTTCCGGTACATAATTGAAATTAAGAAATAAGAACTATGTAAGCTAACACTTAAAATTTTTAAATTGAAAATTTAAAAATCCAAATACATAAGTATAGGGCTAAAACAAATCTAGATAAATAAACTGCAAAAAACGCAAGCTATAGAATAGGTCTAAGTACAAAAGAATAATAAAATATTTATTTTTACATAATAGATTTCAAAAAGTCTTTGTGTACGGCTAGAAATAGGGAAGCCATTCAAATGAAACAATATTTTTTCTCTCTAAAGTGTCACTTATATTCCTATTTTTATTTATTTGCTAGGTACTTTAGAAACGCATTGTACGGTTATAATGTTGTTGTAACTACTAAATTTCTAAAATACATAACGTAGCATATTAAGTCGTACAACATATTGGTGTTACCATATTGAAGAAAAAATTGTTGATGTTTAAAAACTGATAAAACTAATTTTTCTTCTATTCTTTCGCCATTCATAGCTTTTTCTAAACTATAGAATAATATATTTAATTGGAACTTTCAATGAACCCAATAATAATTTACAACTTAATTAACCATATAAAATTTTCAATCAAAGTCATTACTCTGTACTCAATCTAGTCTACCTATATTTAGATTTCAAGAACCCATTTGCAACAAATAAGTTTTCCAATAAAATCACAAAATAATCAATTAAACTTACTATTAAAGTGTTATGTTATTCAAAACGTGACCGTGGTATTGCCATAATCTAATGTTTGCGATTTCTATATTTATGTATTTGTGTGTGTATGAAAGTAAATTTATGTTAAAAGATAACCATTTTTAGAAAAACAATTAACTTTACTCTTAACCACTATAGAATAAAAAAAAAAATAATAATTAAACCGTTATTATTTCTATAAGTAATTTCAAACATGTGTTGTTATTGAGCACAGTATGCGTGTGTGTATGTGTTTATAATCCACATTTTACACTTTATTGTTGATGAGTACAAATTCTATGACTTGAAAAACAATTAAAAAATTCCGGAATATTAAAAACAATAAAAAGAAAAATTTCTATAGAATTTCTTTCAAGAACAAAAATTACAACAAAAAAAAAAACTGTAACTTGAAACACCTGGAAAACTGATACCTTTTATAGAAAAAAGAACAGAAAAAGGAAAAAACATAATCGCAATTTTCTTTTCTTCTCTTCTTTTTTTCTTCTTATTTTTTTTTTGTTTTGTTATCTTTTATGCTAAAAAAATTCTCACTATAATATTATTATTGTTGAGTGTGCAACATATAATTTTTGCTCATTGAAAAATGCAAACAACAAAAGCGATAATAATAACATAATCTTCGAGTTAAGCGAAAAATACAATAAACTAAAAATGTAAATACTTATGTATAGCAAACATACACACTTTACTAATTTAAGTGTTCGTATATAGCTATAAATAATAGAGAGAGAAAACGAACGCTACTCAAAAATACAAAACCCAGAGAAAATAAATGGATAATCGTTTTCACTGATACCTTTAGAGTTCATAAGCACTAAACAAACATTAATAGAATCGAAAATATATATACATATAATAATAGGCGACAATGTTGGATTCATTGATTCGTTCCTTTCAAGCTAAGCTATTTCAAAGTCGAACTAGTTTCTCTTGATACTTCATTGCTTTGTTTGCATTTGTGCATTTCAAATCAGATTATATAGAATTTTTACAGAATTTATAAACTCGTCGCGAAACCAGGTGTATCCAGTTTAACCTAACGAAATTTATTAAATATTATAACCAAAGAAGAAATTTTAACAAGTGTCGGCCGTCGAAACTTTCTGAGTACATTCTCCCTGGCGATAATCACACCAACTTCTTTCTTTTTTGCCATTAATTTAACTTTATTTACACGGCACAATGACCAGTTTTTATATGTTCCACATATTCTTTTCACATGATTCATATACTATGCATTCTGTTTAAAAGCACAAACATTTAGTCGAGCTCATAACCAATTGTTAGGGTCAAAAATGTGGCTGCTTGTGTGCTATTTGCTTTTCAAAAAAATTATAGATGAATTATTAGAATGTTATACTTGTGGTCAGCGTCTTGTTAGTGAATGAACTCAAAAAACTGAAATCTAAATTCACAACCTTTTGACAACAAGCTCATCAAATATCTGTTAATTACATTCAAAATCTTATATTAGAACTCATAATACCAAATTTATTTCCAAATAAAATTAATTTTAGTTTTAAAATCGTAGCATTAAAAAAAAACTTTACACTATTAAAGTATTTATAATTTTTCTACTTGTCGCGCTTCTTGATTTTATTTAGAGTACATAAAATATGAGTACTTGCAAGTCAATTTATAAGCTACACACTATTTTCTTCATCATTTTTAACATAAAAATAAAAAAAAAATAATCAGCTGGCTTATTTATATTTTCTATTTCATACTCGTATTATGATTCCCAACTGAGTAAACTTTTAAAAATAATTTAATATCAATAGATTCGGCAGGGACGGCGCGTTTTTCGTACATACGAGTATATAAGAAATAATAAGGGAAAACATTTTTTTTTTCCTTTGTTCACTCCTAGAAGGAGCATAGGGCTAGTGCATGATTTCTCATGCACTAGTTTCATAGCGTCATAGAGTTTAACTAGGTAGGTGACTAACCTATTTATTTATATTAATTATTTGAGGTTATTAATATTTACTGTTTATTTTTCTTAGTTTTTTTTTTTTTTTTTTTTTTTTAATATCGAATATTAGGAATATTTGAAAATTACTTGTATGATATTTTTATTAGTATTGTATATTAAGTTATAATAATATTGAATATATATTTTATAGTGACCTGACCGGGGTTTGAACCCGAGACCCTTCGGTTAAAGGACCGGTGCCATAACCACTGCACCAATGGTCAGATAAGGGAAAACATAACGGAAATAAATATTGCCTTTTTGAATTTCTTCAAAGTAAAGAACTTATACGAGAAATACCTTGTTGTAAAAGGGGAGATTAAATTTTTGTAAGTGTACTTGGCCTGCCATTATACGGAATTGTTTGTTTTAAAATTGTAGCACTGCCCGAAATAATGCTCGGCATATGCTGGTTTTTTTTTTTTTTGATATTGTATAACAACTACTCAAAATAGTAACTCCATCGTAACGAAATTCAGTAAAGCTTTGTCATTTTCAATTGCTTGAAGAAATTTTTTAGTTGTCACTAATGTAAATGCATACTGGCAGACGGATTAATATTTTTACACCGATTCAAGATCGGATGCTAAACGAGAATATATATAAGATAAAAGATATAGATAGATAGAGATAATAATAAAGTCAATCCGATCCCGCTGGTGTTTAACATCCGTTTTCATATAAATACATCTGCCTTCCTCTCTCTCACAGGGCATTCATTGGTTGACAAAATACTATATTTCATAGCCTTTACTTCGCTACTGACCATTATACGAAAAACACATAAAAGTTCTTAGTATGCACACATTTGCGTACATATTTTTATTTGTATTTAAAACTACGTGTTCTGTTTTTTTTAAAGCCTATAAATACAATATGTACGTATGTACTCGTATATGTAATACCTTTAAGTTGATTAAAAAATTTAAAATAAACAATAACAAGTAAGCAACAGCCAACAACATTAGACAAACGAAAGAGAGAGAATCGAAAAGCAACAGAAAAAATAAAAAAAATTTAATAGAACTATCATGCGACAAAACAGACTGTATTATTATAAAGATAACGTCAAAATATCAAACTACGAACTGTCATTATATAAAAAATTTAGTGTAGTTAGTCGTCGCACACTAATTACATCCGCAAGACTCAATTAAAAAAATAAACCGCATAAAACAAATACCAGAAAAAAAAATAAAGAAAAACAAAAATTAATAAAAAAAAATTAATTTTTTTAATTTTTGCCTTTATTTTAGTTTCGAATTGATAAAATCTATAAAAAAAAATATTTATTAATTAGGTCTTACATGACTTAGAAAACCGTTATAAGTTTTTATCGTTAAGATTTACAATTTTCATCGATTAATCAATATTTTTAATTGATAATTTTAAAAATAAAAAGTTGGGGAAAAAAATTAAAAAAAAAAGTTTTATAAAATCTTTTGGTTTTGCATTACAAATTATAAATTAAAAAAAAAATATTTTAATTCTCGGTAAAAGAAATATAAAATTTATTGGAAAATCATGAGAGAAATAATCCATTTGCAATGTGGCCAATGTGGAAATCAAATTGGATCCAAGGTTCGTTAAGTTTATTTTTATCTTAAAGCAAAAACAAATTGTACATATGTACATACATATGTATGTATGTATGTATGCATTAATAATACTGTACAATAATAATAAGTGTTACCAGTGTTGAAAAATTTTTTAATGAAATTTACTTAACACAAAAATGTATGGATAATGTGAAATTTACAGCGTCATCTGATTATATTTAACGAAAGAATAAGAAATTATTAAAAATCGATTGATTATTTTTGATATACTTGATAATTTATTGTTTAAAGAATTATAGAATTAAAGTTGACTAATATCACACTTACTTAACTAAGTAATAATATATGAAAATAGTGATTTTTCAATAACATTCGTATGAACACGTTAAATTGTAAGAACAGAGAACAAAAGTAACAGCATTGAAATTTTATGTCAAAATACCCATATGTTCTGAAATACTTTGGTAGTTTAGGCTAGCAGAGAATTATTAAGAATTTTTACACTTTATTCAATTCAAATGGCACCTCTCTATTTTTCACATTACTAATAGAAAAAAAATTATTTTTTTCACGATTTCACACAAAATAATAATATTTTACTTAGTTTTGATATTTTACTCTTTTCATGTCATTTTTTCATTCTCTTTCTCTATATTTTACCCTCACTCTTTTGATGTTTTCTCTCTCTCTCGTGCGATATTTTACTGAGCATTATGAACATAACGATACGTCATATATATTATATCGAATATAATAGAATAAAAATAATTATTGAGCTTTGAAATTAAAATTATCTAATTATTATTTATTTTTTGCCTTCTTTTCTTCTTTTTTTCACTAAAATTTAAGTAAATTTTCTTTTATACGTACCTTTTAAAACACGTGATAATTTTTATTTAATTTAGTTGTTTGATTTCAAAAAAATTATTTTTAGGTTAGATTTTATTTTTATAATTTAGAATATAATTTGTTATTTTTTCTCGTTGTATGCATACGAAAATATCTGCATATACATGTGTATATACATATGTATGTATGGGAAATAGACGTAGCAATATTCTATAATTAGAAAATTTTCTTTTTACGAAATGTTTTTTTTTGTTATTTTCATTTTATTTCGATTTTCAAATAAACATGCGCTTTCAGATTGCCGGTAGTTTTGTTATTTAGTAAAATATATGCATAAAATAATATTCACAAACATGACACAACAAAATTTGTAGATAAACTATGAAGAGCAAAACTGTCAATATTAAACAAACAGGTAGAAAATATTTTAAATTCTACCGATAAATTTATTTATAGATAGTATAAACTTGGATTTATATATGTATGTATGTACTCGTATAACCAAAAAACATGAACAATTGGATTAAAAATGGATTTTAATAAGCGCAAAATGACGTAAAGGATAAATGCATTTTTACATTTCGAAAAGCTTTGTAATTGACATTGAATGTTTGAAACAAAATAATTTTTAAAGCTTAACCAATACCCGAATTCGAATTTTGTATTCCAGTCGAATTCTCTACCGCAACATTACTATTATCAAAACGATGTTAGACAGAATAGATGGAGTAGATCGTATCTGCTCTGTGATAATATAAAAATGAATGATTTTGAAAATGAATAGAGTTGGTTTTATGCAGTTTCAATATTTGTTTAATATAATTGCATAATTTTTGATCTCAGCAAAGCTCAAAACGATTTCAATGAATTTTTTAAGTGGCATAACATATTCGTTTCTTCAAAATTTCAATCATGTAAATCAAACAGTTTTAAATATATGCAAAACAACTTTTGAATTTTTGTAACAGCCACCACAGGAAGTCATACAATTTTAATGACTTTCATCAAACGTAATCGCCTTATAACAGTATATTTTTCTGTTCGAAGCTTCAATAAAACAGCTTTAAAAGTTTTAGAGATATGGCCGCATAGTGCACTCAAATAGTGTTTGAGTTATGGCTGAGCCGACAAAGCTAAATCGACTCAGAATTCGACGCTGATCAAAATCATATGCTTATACCTATGTCTCAGACAATTATTTCTTAGTGTTACAAACATTATGGCAAATTTAATGCAAACAAACACCCTTCGAACATACGTTCATTGGTGTATAAAAATGGGGAGCGCACTATCTAAAATTCTTTAATATTCCTGTTAACCATATTTGATTTAAATATGATTGCTTGATTTAAGTATACCAAAAAATCAACTACAAATTCCGAATTGGTGTGAAAAATACATATAAAATTGATGAATATTCGACATTTAAATCATAAATAAATTTCATTAAAAGTTGTGTAAATAAATTTTAGCTTATTTTTAGTCACAAAACCGAATATTTGTGAAATAATTTCAAAATATTTATTCACCTTTTTATTTTTCTTTATAATTCATATACAACACTTTTTAGATTCACATTAAATAATTCAAAAAATTTAATTAGGATTTTAGAAATTTCTTTCAAAAAATTTATCGATGCGAAGGTTTTCATTTTAATTTTTTTTTTAATTATTATATTGTTGACCAATTTTTATTAATAAAAAATTGAAATTATTGTGGGTACATTAATTCCAACTTTTTAAAATTAGAATTATTTATTTTCATTATTAGCTATTTTAATTTTTTTTCAAAATTTAATAAAATTTAAAAAAAAATGTTTAGCTACGTCAGAAAAAAAAACTAATAAATTAATATATGTATACAGTGCATATACATTCTTGTATGTGTAGGTATATTATGTATAACCTGACTATTTATTGTATAATAATTATTATACACTGCATAAACTAATAAAAATTAAAAATGTTTTCGACCTTATATTTTGTGTTATTTGCAGAATGACAAAAATTTGAAAAAATATTTGTGTATGACATAATAAATTATTAAAAAAAAATTTAAAGAGAAATAATTTGTATTTATTCATGCGCTAATCAGAGCAAGTTCCATTATTGCAAAAAAACAGCAAAAAAAAATAGGAAAAAATGTCATATAATTAGTTAAAAATTTTTAGTAAAAATGCAGAAAATCTCAATTATATTATCCACTCTGGTAATAATATATTATTCAAATAACGTGTATGTGACTGTGCATGTATTAATGCATGTAATATAATTCTATGGTGTGGAATAAAATTACCTACCTAGATATTAAAATTTTGTGGTTTCTCTTTTTAGCACTTTTCCAAAAATTTTTTGAAAAAAGTGCTTATTAGTTTCACTCTGTCCGTCCGTCCGTCCGTCCGTCCGTCCGTCCGTCCGTCCGTCCGTCCGTGGACACTTTTTTTGTTTACAAAACTTCTACACCCTTGAAGATAGAAAGCTGAAATTTTATATGTACATAGATCTTTACTAGAAACTTACTTCCGTAGAACAAAATTTTTACCTATCTCCCCCCCTCTAGAAGTTATACCCCCCCAAAACCTTAAAAATGGCCTTTTTTAACTTTTTGTTGCAATGAAACCATAAGCATTTTTGAAATTTTGCAAACGCAGAAAGGCAGTGGCTTGCTTCCCCTAGCGCGGTATGCTATAGTCAAAATTTAGAAAAACAAAATGGCCGTTCAAATTTACCGTTATCTAAAGTCCTTTTTTTCCAAATTTTTGATGTCATTTTTCTTCTAGACCCCAGCCTGTAGAAGCTTGAAATTTTAGTGGCTTATAGACATTAAAAAATAATTTATTTCGTTAGAAGAAAATTTTTTTCCATCTCCACCCCCTTTCAAGTTATCGCCCCTTGAAATTTGTAAAATTTGAATTTTTGACACCTTATATTTCCGAAATCGTACGTTTTTTCAAATTTCTATAAACGCAAAAAGCTAACGGTAAATTCCATGACATTAAAAAATATAATTATTTTCCTTAACTCACACAAATAACCCTTAAAATCGAGCATTATGTTAACCCCTTTTTATATTAATTTTTGCTTTATTTCAAAGACTGCATAAATCGTTCATCCTAAATATATGCAATCCTAGAAAGAGTTTTGTATATGAATGAAAATAATTTTAATAGTGTGATAGGTATACATAGACTGTATTTAAAAGCAGAATTTTCACTTGTTGAAGGGAAAAGTGCTACAATACAAACCATTGGTTTGACCCAACTTTATTTAAATAAAACTCAATGAATAACTGTGAAAATCTTTAAAAAATTTTGTTAAAATAAATTGAATAAATTTTTTATTTATTTTTATTTTATTTCTTTCGAAAAATTATTGACCAGAAAAAGGCATAAAATTATTTGAAAGCACAGCATTTGTATTTCTTTTTAAAAGATTTTAATTATTTTGTAGTTTTAATGTCGTTTAATTTTTCAAAAATAATTTTAAAGAATGCAATTAAGAGAAAATCAAGAGCTTAGCTGTGTTGAATAATAAGTTCTATTAAAAATGCATAAGTATATGAAATTTTCGAATGGAAATTATATTAGGTAGCCTTAAATTGTCGAAGATTTCAATTCAAAATTTTAAATTGAGAATAGTTGTATTAATTAAATTTGTCCTGTAATTTTTGCTACTTTTCCAGTTTTCTGCAAATCACGGATCAATTTTCACACAATTTCAAGGGTTTGGAAAAAATCTCGTTCTTTATGTTAACGCATTTTAAAATTTTTGAAAAATTTGATTGCTATTATTCGATTAATCAATTTGTCACTTTCCGTCTGAAGCTATTGACATTAAAAACTTCAAATCAAAGTTTACAGTAAAGTCAAAATTAGCTAGTACTAAACAGAGAATATGCACTATAATAACTTGAATATCTAAAATAGCGAACGTAATTTGATAATAAAAAGAATGATTTTTTCCTTTTGCGTTTTTAGACCTTGTTATAATAGTATAATGGAAAAATACAATTGGAAACAACATAGTTGTAAATTATATTTTATACTAAGAGAAATAAGTATAACATTTAAATTTTTGAAAATATTCTAAGGTTTTACACAATCCAAATATTATAAATGTTATATACTATAAACCCCCTTCATATATTATGTTAGGTTATACGTTATGCACTTAA